TTTTTTTTTTTTTTAAGAGAGAGAGAGAGAAAAGTCACAGTCCTGGAACTGTAAAGAGTGGATAGGTTTTAGGTTTTGTACCAGTGTTTAAGGGGTTGTGGTTCATTCAGCTCATTGAATATTGTCAGGGAAGTGAAAAATGAGATTGCTCACATGTAAGGACAGAAGATACGCCACAGAACGTTGGTGGGAATACGTGTTGTAAAATGCCGCTTTGTAAGATAATTGAGAAGGTGCGAATACAGAATTGAGAGGGATCATAGAAGAGTGGGTTTTGAGGTTAGGGGATGAACGAAACTGGCTCAGGACTGTGTCCAGTGATGGTCTTTGGTATTAGCCATGTTCGAAGTTTTGTTTCTAAGAGCAGAATTACTAGTTACTTTGTGTCTCAAATTTCTGTCACTTATTTACAATGTTATCTCTATCGGCAGAAAGAACGTAATCGCGCATTCCGTGAGACTTTAGAGTACATGGCACCTGAAATAATCAAAAGTGAAGGTCACGACATGGTAAGTATCTTATACTTTAACAATGCAAATTTATTGTTTTAATTTTTTCTCATAACTGAACCAACAGTATGCATCCAAGTAAGCCATCACAGTGTAGTAATCCGAGGGATTTGAAGCCACAAATAAAAACTGCATGGAGTTTGTACTTTCGGCAGTATCTTAGCAGGAGGCAGTACCTCTCAGTATTTGGATTCTGTGCCGGAACAGTTCCACATCTCCTTGAATTATCCTGTTTGTTGTTCGTTCTTCCAAGATCAATTATTGAGAAAGACATTTTACAGCTTCTCTGGGAATCTACACCAACATTTGCTGAACACGACGAATATTTTCTGGTGGTCAGACAAACTCAGCTTCCATTACCGACAATATAATTCTTATTGTGAATCTCTCTCCCAGTTGTTTGGGAATTGTACTATGCGATCTATTTATTGCGGACCTACTTGGCCGTTTCCCGCACTCAGAATTTACTCGAAACTCGTGCTGAACCATGATAAGGCTAGCAATCTGGTAAAACCCTTTCGCTAACAACAAGCTCCTCTGTTGTGTGTGCCATCTTTTTCACTGCTGCATCGTGATATTTTTGCCGGGCGCAGCACATTCTCCAAAGACTACTGACGCACTAGAAAGACCTTCTGTAAACCTGTACACAAGAAATGAACAACACAGTTTGTTCGTAACTAAAATTTTCTGTTACCGGAGACTCTTGTGAATAACTTTGGGGGGATTGAAGAAATTGAAGTGAGAGATTGTTGCTGTAATTACTGAATTGGATTGTTGCAGGCTGTTGACTGGTGGAGCTTTGGTATATTGGCGTATGATATGATAGTGGGGTTGACACCCTTCGAAAGAAATGGAGGAATATCCGAGGATTGGATGTACCAGTAAGTCTTCCGTGCGAGCTTTATGTTCCTTTGAATGAAGTTTTGTACATATTGCATGACTCCCTGTTTTAATGCAATTGAATTAAATACATACATTTGTAACATGTGGAGAATTAGCCTTAGGAAATGAAATCGAACACTGTCATCGCCACAACTCTTAAGCAAGGTAGAACTTACTTTGGATATATATGTGAAAATTAGACACTGATGGTGCATTTTGTAAGAAGTTTTAAAGGAATTATAAACTAATTGTGAATGAATGTTTAATGTGTATGTTTCTAGTGGCAAATGAGTCATCCCACCTCAGTTCAACAAACATGGGTGCCACTCAATGTCACCTGATGCTGTACTAAATTACTAATTTGTCTGCAAAATTGTAGTCGTCATAGAGATAGCTTGAGCGTTTTGAGTGTGGTCTGTGTATTGGCTTTGAAGGTACACTTATATCCTGATAACAGCGCATTGCACAGAAACAGCCACTACATAATCTGTCTCCCAGTGGGAGCTAGAGGAAAGACATAGGCTTCTCGGAGAATTACACATTTATACTTCAAGATGCCACAAAGATGTTCTCATTGTGCAAACAATTACACAATTCTAAATCCTTCCGTTATTTGTATACAAATATCAACACCATCATCTTCTGTGTATATATACAATGAGTAATCAGTGGTTGACTTTGTCATATCATTTTATGCATTTCAAAGGACATTAGTTCAATATCTATGTACTGAACTTTCTAACCTAAGAGATGGTATATATTTGAGTGATGGCAATGCATCTCAGTTCTAGAAGAAACAAAAGATTTTTAAACTTTCGTCATGTACAAGATTTTGGTCTCTTTTCTGAATGGCACTTCTTTGCAACAAACCATCAGAACAGACAAGCAGGTGGAATAGTAGACAGCGTAGAAACATAAAGTCCGTGCAGAATTCAAACTTGTTTTGGCCTCAGAAGGAAGACTGCTGCTGAATTGAAGATGACAGCGTTAAGCTTACAATGCATCGATTGATAAAACAGGTCAAACGCACAGATGTGAAATATTATTGCAAATTATTGTATCAATGTACCTGGATTGAAATTACGTATTCTTCGTTAAGGACACACATTTGCTTATAGATGATATTTAAGAGACAGGGTTATTTCTGACACAGGTGTTTTCTGCAACATAATGAAATTGCATGCGCACACGCACACGTCTGATTTCGTGCGTGACAGGTGTAATTTAATTCTGTGACAGTTGTCCACATCATTCATTGACTT